CACACTTTCCATACATGTTGACGATCGACGTGAAAGCCATGGAGTCGAGCCTGGAGCTTAGAGCTGAATCCTCGATGGAAGAGTGAATCCCCTTGGCCAGAAAGAACTCTCCAAGGTTTGTGCAAGCGTCGATGACAGTGAGAAACGAGATCTCGTCAATATCGACTCCCTCGAGATCCATGATAGTGAAGAGATGAACAGCGTCTTTGCAATGCCCGTTCTGGGCATATGCCGCCATGAGAGAATTCCAGGATACCACATCCCTCTCGAGCGTGTCATCGAACATCCTCTTGGCCTGCTGGACGAATCCATTCTGCCCGTAGGCATTGATCATCACATTGCAAGGGATGGCGCTGAGCTCCGGGATGGAATCGAAGAGCATCTTTGCCTGGCGCATAAACCCTAGCTGGGCAAATCCCCCGACTACCGCCGTCCACGCCACCGCGTTGTGGCACGGCATCCTGGCCAGCAAATCCCTCGCCTCCGCGAACAATCCATTCCTGTTGTGCGCCACCAGCAGCGCCGTCCAGGAGAAGACGTTCTTGCGGAAGATCCGGTGGAATGCCCGCTGCGCATCGCCCAGGCAGCCGCATTCGCCGTAGAGCTGCACGAGGAGATTGCCCGGGAACGTCTCCCCGTCCGATCCCGCCGCCCTGAGCTGATCGTGGATCCTCCTGCCGTCTGCGATGGCGCCGGCCTTGATCTTCTGCCTGAGAAGCGCGCAGTAGGCCGCGGAATCGGGATGCCTCATTCATCATCGCGATCCCGCCAAGACCATATGCCCAAGAACCCTAAAATTTGCCCAGCAGCCCTAATTTCTCGTGACAATCGCCAAAATTATTTGGGCGGCGCTGGATATTTGCTTCCTACATTTAGGAATAAAACCAAAGGGTACGGCTTTCCCTAGCCCGACGGAGCTTATTTACCAGCGATCGTGGCCGTCAATGCGGTGGTAGATGGTAAATTCTCCATCTCTCGACCACGTGGAGCACACAAGCCGTGGCAAATTGACTCTAGGGTTTATAGATCGACCGCTCGGATCGTTCTAGGGCCGCGCATTCTATGCTCGCAGCTGCTTGGAATCTCTGTCTGGCAGCTCCAATCGTCCGGAAAGGTCATCTCTCGCAATAGCAACCTCGCGATATCGATTTCAATGCAGATTCAGGCCTTTCGCCTCCCCGGCTGAGCTGCTTCCATCGCGTCCGATCCGTGCACTTCCGCGCCTCGATCGCTTTGCGGCAGCGACAGGAGATCGCAATGGGTGAGCGCGATGTCTGGAAATTTCTCCTCTGACGCGAAATTTGGCAGTGTCGGGGCATCCATTCGAGAGTATTCTCACTTCCTTGTCCAAGGACGACGGTGGGGAGTATGGGAAATATTACAGCCTTCCAGACTTGCATGATCCACGAATTGGTATGCTGGTGTTCTCTCTTGATTTGATCTGTCTCAAATTTTCTCTCTTTTTCGTTCGATTGCACAGAGAAGCTGCCTTACTCGATCAAGATTTTGCTGGAATCGGCCATTCGAAACTGTGACAACTTCCAGGTTACAAAGGACGATGTAGAGAAAATTGCCGACTGGGTTAACACTGCTCCAAAACTAGTGGAAATTCCTTTCAAGCCTGCTCGAGTTATCCTCCAGGTTTGGAAGCTAAGAATCAAACAATTGTGATGTGACTTGTTCCAACTCTTGTGTATTTGTTTTTTTCTTTTTCCTTCAGGATTTCACTGGTGTACCAGCTCTGGTGGATCTAGCTGCAATGCGGGATGCTATGAAGAGGCTCGGTGGCGATCCCACAAAAATCAATCCTTTGGTAAAACCTTTGTTCTTTCTTCTCATGAGGAAAGTATTTTAAATCTTGGTTCTTGCTTTTAGATACCTGTCGACCTCGTGATTGATCACTCCGTACAAGTCGATGTCGCTCGCTCGGCTAATGCTGTCGCGAGCAACATGCAGTTTGAGTTTAATCGCAACAAGGAAAGGTTTGCGTTTCTGAAGTGGGGATCAGTTGCCTTCAAAAACATGCTGGTGGTTCCTCCTGGTTCTGGTATTGTCCATCAGGTATGAGCCCAGTTTTTAAATCTGGAAGTTTACATTTGTCATTATTGTCAGGTGAATCTGGAGTATCTCGCTCGAGTAGTGTTCAACAGAGATGGCTTTCTTTATCCGGATAGCTTGGTTGGTACTGATTCGCACACCACCATGATAGACGGACTTGGAGTTGCCGGATGGGGAGTTGGAGGAATCGAAGCGGAGGCAACAATGCTTGGACAGGTATTTTGATTCAGGATTTTGCAACATCTATCCGGATTTTTCAAATTCATCCATTTTTGTTACAGCCAATGAGCATGGTTCTTCCGGAAGTCGTGGGGTTTAAGCTAGTAGGCAAACTTCAGGCTGGAGTCACTGCAACAGATCTGGTCCTTACTGTAACGCAAATGTTGAGGAAACATGGTGTGGTTGGGAAGTTTGTCGAGTTTTACGGTCTGTATCTACTTGAGTTTTATACTCCTAACGTTTTCCTTTTATTTCAGGCGAGGGTGTCAGCTGCCTTTCACTAGCTGACCGAGCAACTATTGCTAACATGTCACCGGAATATGGTGCTACTATGGGATTTTTCCCTGTCGATCAGATGACCTTAAATTATTTAAGCTTGACAGGCCGTGATGCAGAGAAGGTAACTTTATACATTTCTAAAATAAAACCTTATGATTTAGTATAATAATACAGGTGAAAATGGTCGAAGCTTATTTGCGTGCAAATGATATGTTTGTGGACTATTCTCAGGTAACAAGATACTATAGAAATTTGCCTAACAGTTTTTTATTATTCGCGTAGAAACAACCTGAGACGGTCTATTCAGCATATCTAGAGCTCGATTTGGGAAGCGTTGAACCCTGCATTTCTGGACCTAAACGGTTAGCTTTTGTCGATTTTTGATGGCTCGCTCCTTCTCTAACATCCAACTTTTCTGTTAGTCCGCATGATCGGGTTTCTCTTAAGGACATGAAGGCTGATTGGCAGGCCTGCCTAGACAATAAAGTTGGCTTCAAAGGCTTTAACATTCCGAAGGATCTTCAGCACAAGACCGCTCAATTTACATACGAAGGGAAGCCGGCAGAGCTAAGACATGGGGATGTCGTCATTGCAGCGATTACAAGCTGCACGAATACATCCAATCCCTACGTGATGCTTGGAGCTGGACTAGTTGCCAAGAAGGCAACGGAACTGGGACTCGAGGTATGCCATCAATATGTTCTCTAGATGGTTAACTTAGTTTTATAAGCAGGTTCGTCCCTGGATAAAAACAAGTCTTGCTCCTGGTTCAGGCGTTGTTACGAAGTACCTTATAAAAAGGTAATTGTTTCATTGCCGCATGCCTGTATTCTGAACCACATGTAAGTACTGCAGTGGTCTTTTGAAGTACCTTGATATGCAAGGATTTAGTGTTGTGGGATATGGGTGCACTACCTGCATTGGAAACTCTGGCGAGCTGCATGAGGCTGTGGCTACAGCGATAGCGGATAATGGTACGTAGCTCTCTGCATTTCCTCTTGTTACTTACTGTCCTCTGTCAACAGATATTGTTGCTGCAGCGGTCTTATCGGGAAATAGGAATTTCGAAGGACGGGTGCATCCCTTAACGCGGGCCAACTATTTGGCTTCTCCTCCTCTGGTTGTAGCTTATGCATTAGCAGGAACGGTAAGCCTTTGTTTTCAGCACAACCGTGTTTTTATGATTTTCTTTGCAGGTAAACATCGACTTTGAGAAGGAACCCATCGGTGTTGGCCACTCTGGGAAACAAGTTTTCTTGAGAGACATTTGGCCAACGTCGGAAGAAGTCGCAAAAGTATGTATTGTGAATCACTTTCATCTGTTTTCTTAAAACTCGTTCACTTCCAGGTTGCAGAAGCTTCTGTGTTGCCCGAAATGTTCAAGTCTACATACGAATCCATCACGAAGGGCAATACTATGTGGAATGACTTGCCTGCTCCTACTGGAGATCTCTACTCATGGGATCCTAAATCAACGTACATTCACGAGCCGCCATTTTTCAAGACCATGACTCGAGATCCACCCGGTGTTCATGGCGTTCACGACGCAGCCGTTTTGCTAAATCTCGGGGACAGTATCACTACCGATCATATTTCACCAGCCGGGAGCATCCACAAAGACAGTCCGGCTGCCAGATATTTGATGGAAAGAGGCGTCGAGAGGAAAGACTTCAACTCTTACGGCAGCCGACGTGGAAATGACGAGGTTATGGTTCGTGGAACGTTCGCAAACATCAGAATTGTGAATAAGCTGCTCAAAGGTGAAGTGGGACCAAAAACCGTCCATCTTCCTTCTGGGGAATGTCACTGGGTTTTCGATGTGGCGCAGGTATTTCTTCTATTTCATGTCTTTAAGAGAACTGAGGTTTCCTTTGCAGAAATATAAAGACGAAGGAAAGGAGATGGTGGTTCTTGCCGGAGCAGAATATGGCAGTGGCAGTTCACGAGATTGGGCAGCCAAAGGGCCCTTCCTTCAGGTTAGACCAATTAAGTTTTCAAGCTAAAGTCATGATAAAGTCATGAATCGCTTTGTTGGCAGGGAGTGAAAGCTGTCATCTCTAAGAGTTTCGAGAGAATTCACCGGAGCAACCTTGTTGGAATGAGCATCATCCCTCTGTGCTACAAGAATGGCGAAGACGCAGAATCGCTTGGTCTTACTGGACATGAAACCTTCACCATCGAGCTGCCATCCACGATCGAGGAGATCAAGCCCGGGCAGGACGTGCTTGTGAAGACCAACACGGGGAAGGAGTTTACTTGCACACTTCGCTTTGATACGGAGGTATGAAAACTTTTCTTTTTTTTCTTTTTGCTAGTGGAGTTTTGATCTTTGGCTTTACACTTGGCTATGCACAGGTTGAGAAGACTTACTTTAATCACGGTGGAATCTTGCACTATGTGTTGCGGCAGCTACTTGGCAGTGCTTAGACTAAAGGACTCTTTTGTGAATTTGGAATAACGTGCTTTTATTTCTCAAACAAATCTAAGTGTAGTAACATCCTTGCTCTCATGCTTGCAGCTCCTTGGCCAGCTCCTTTTTTAGTCTCAGCCTCTTCTTCTTGGAAGGCTTTGTGGACAACGCTGCCACAATGCTCTTCAAGGCCGACGCGATGCTGATGCTTGCCGGTGGTGGCGAGCTCTCTTGTTTAGTTTCTGCTGCTGGAGGGGTCGTAAGATCATCGATGTCTATCGCCTTCGTGGCTACTCCAGGTTCTTCTCCTTCGCTGATTACTGCTGGTTTTTCGGTTTTGCTAGCGGCTTTTGGATCCTCTTGTAGCAGCGGACTCTCTTCCTCGCTGGTGGGAGTCGTTTCCTCGACTTGCTCTTTGTCTTCCTTCTGAGCGTCTGCTAGCTCGTCTTCGACAGTGATGGGAGCTGCGTCATCTGGAGCAGTGATAGCTTTGTCTTTGGCTGGTGTGAAATCTTCTGGTACTCTTTCAGCTTCTTTCTCTTTCTCTTCCTCTTGAGTTCCTTCGTCTTTGGCAGTGATGGGAGCTGCTTCGTCTGGAACAATGAGATCTTTGTCTTCGCCTGGTGTGGAAACTTCTGGTACTGCTTTCTCTTTGTCTTCCTCCTGAGTTTCTGCGAGCTGAGTTCCATCGTCTTCGGCAGTAATGAGAGCTGCTTCGTCTAGAGCAATGTCGCCTTTGTCTTCGGCTGGTGTTGTTGCTTCTTCCTTGTCGTTCTCGTGGACGATGCTTGTTGTTTCGAGCTCCTTAGCCTTCTGATCCTCGCGATTCTCTGCTGGATGAGTTCCTTCACCAGCAGCTACCGCCGCTTCTTTCTCTTCGTCCGCAGATACTATTGTTTCTTCAACTGTTGCTTCTTCATCTTTGCCCGCTTCTTGGTCCGGAAAGGTGACATCTGCGTCGTGAAATTCTTCCTTGTCCGGACTTATACCTTCTGCTACTTGAGTTTCGTCGTGCACCTCCTCCTTGTCCGGAATTGTATCTCCTGCTACTTGAGTTTCGTTGTGCACCTCTTCCATGTCCGGAATAAGAGTTTCCTTGTGCACCTCGTCCTTGTCCAGAATTATATCTTCGGCTACTTGAGTTTCGTCGTGCACCTCTTCCTTGTCCGGAATTATATCTTCGGCTACTTGAGCTTCATCGTGGATCTCTTCTCTGTCTGGAATTATGTCTTCTGCTGTCTGAGTGCTCGTGGAAAGAGCATCCGTTTGGAGAACTGTTGTTTCTTTCTCTTTCTCTCCGCTTGGATCTTGATCTTCTGCTACTTGAAATCTTTCCTCGCGTTTGTCAGTTGCTTCCATCTCCGAGTTTTCTGCGATCTTAGCCTGAGTTTCTTCACTGCTCACTGTTTCTTGCACCTTTTCTTCGTCGTCGCCAGCAGCTGGAACATTCCTGTCCACGGCTTCGTCTTTCAAAGGTTCGTGTTCAATCAGATTTGTTGACTCCTCGGTGTCTCTAATATCTTGCTCGCCTTCTTCAGTCCGACCTTCCACTGGATTTTGGATTGCTTCGTCACCACCTTCGACTGCCTTGTCCTCCCTGGCTTCGATAGCTCCCTCGACATCTTGGACTGTCGACGGCAAGTCTTCTCCCCCTTTATCATCAGCTTCACTTTGCAGCGTAATCTCCTCGTGTGGTTTCTCTCCGACTTCTTCAGCAGCTGTGTTCTCAATTCCATCTTGAAGCTCAAGTCCTCTGTCAGCCTCATCTGTCTTTAATAGCCCTTGACTTTCCAAAACCAGTTCGCCAGCAGACGCTTGATCGTTTCTAGTCGTCTCTTTGCCATCTGCGTCTATTGCTGCTTGATCCTCAGCTCCATCCAACTGTTCTCCTGCTTGCTTAGTGACCACACTTTCATCTGTTGCTGGTTCAACTTCCACAGCACTGCCTTCGTCTGTATCCTTACTTTCCTGGATGCTATGGTCTTCGGTAACTCCAGAGTCCTCCAGCTTCTCAATTTGTGCATCTCTGCCTTCGTCAGCCTCAACTTTGGATTTGGCGTCATCGTCCAAAGTTGTCCCGCTTTCTTCTGTTGTCATCGTTGGTAGTTCGTCTTCGGTTCTCTTGTCAGCAACGGTATCTTTTGTTTCTTCCGATGATCCGGCAGCTAGTTCGTCGCCCTCGATTTTGTCTAGAGGTACTGCATCTTCAACGTTGGAACTTTCGACTTCCTGATCAGCCTTGTCTTCGGTTGGTGTCCCGTCAACTTGGTCTTGTCCGTGCAATGTGGTCTCATTCTCTGCTTCGTGGACTTGCTCAGCCTCGCGTGGTGTTTCTTCAGCCGCTTCTTTCTTGTCTTGAGCATCAGACTCTGGTGCAGCAGATACTTGATCAGTTCCATGATCCTCGCCTGCGTCTACTTCGTGATCTCCACTGCTCGTCTTTTCTTCGACACTTTTGCTTCCAGATTCCTCTGCGGCGTCTATCTCCACCATCGGTTCTGTTGCTAGTTGTTCCTCACTAACAGTTGCGCTTCCGTCTGGAACAGCTTCCTCGAGTATCCCAGATTTGTCAGCCAGCTCTTCTTTGGCTTGCACTTTACTTTCTGGATCTTCTGCCACATCGACCAGCTCATCAGCTCGTTCTTCCGTCCCTGTTGTTGATTCCACTGCAGCTTCATCCTCTTTTTCCACTTCCCTGTTGTCAGCCATTTGCGATGATGTTCCCTGCTCCTCACCAGGCTTTTCGTTTCCTAGCGACGCAGCATCTGCTTCGTCCGATGCTGCACTCAATGCTTGATCTGGGATCTCCTTAGTGACACTCTCTGGTGTTGTTGCAACGTCCTCATTGTGTCTACTGTCAACGGCTGCTGCTGCACCAGTAATCTCCGACCCTGCTTCCTCAATTCTCGCGTTTTCATCGACCTTCTCTTTGCTTTCCCCAACTTTATCCTCGCTCTGCGCATCATCGATTTCCTGAGCCTCTGCTGGCTTTTCGGGATTATTGAGATCTCCAGCCTTCTCATCTTTCTCTTCGATTGTGGTGTTCTTCAAGGGCCTGCTTTCCAGTTGTTCAGAGTCTGCTACTGGTGCTTCGTTGTCTGCGTTTCCTGCTGCTTCGACCCTGTCTTCCAGCTGAAGCTCCTCCACTTGTGATTCTTCGTCGCTATTCAGCTCACTGTTTATTACGAGGTCCCGTGACTCCACCTCAAGTTGTTCTGCTGCTGGCTCTTCACGGTCCTTGGTTTCCTGCTTCTCTAATATCATTTCCGACGTAGATTCATCCGTGTCTGCTTCATTTGTTGCCGTCGCAGGGACTAGTTCAATCTCCCTTGCTACTTCTGGTGTTTCTGCAGTAGTTTCCATCTGGTCAGGCACTGTGTTTCCAGTCACGCCTTCATCATTCGCTGACTCGACGGCTTCAATCTGCTCCATCACCTTAGAAGCGTCCTCGCTCGGTACCGTTTCCTCGATTTTCGCTTCATCGGCTGCTACTTCCTTTTCCTCGGGAACTACTCCAATCACCTTAGTCGTCTCGGCCTCCATTTTCATTTCATCGTCCAATGCTTCCTTTTCCTCAGTGCTGGCGACGTCCTCCTCGATTTGATTACTCGTCTCTAAAGCAGCTGCTGTCTCCTTGATCTTCACGTCATTGTCTGCTGTTCCCTGAATCTTCTCCATCGGTGCTTCTAGAGAAGTTTCCACCTGGCCTGTTGCTTCCATTTTTACTACAACATCGGCTGTCTCGTCCTCGTTTGTGGCAGCTGCTATTTCTGAGAGATCTTCTACCTGGCTAGGCACTGTTTCCTCGACCTTCTCTTCATCTGCCGTCTCAGAAGTTGATATACACTCTGTGGCCGCTTCCACAGGATCGAGTGGTTTCTCCTCGTTTGGGATCGTTTTCTCAACTGGACTCGCATCAGTTTGTTCCTGCTGGACGGTCATTGATTCCTCCTCTGATTGTTGTTCCTCAGCATTCAATGATGTCTCTTCGAGGCTTGGTGATGGCTCGACTTCGACAGGGCTTCGTTCCGTAGTCTCTACTTCAGCGGGTTCTTCTGTAGTAAGTGGCTCGCTTGCTGCTTCTCCGGTTCCAGCTTCTTCCGATCCAGCTTCCACTTTTGTAGCCTGCTCCAACGGGTTGATATCAGCTTCGGGAGTTTGAACTGGCGCTCCGATTGTTGTAAGTTCTTCTGGGGCTATAGGTTGTTCGTCAACTTTTGCCTCCTCAGGGTCAGCGGGCGTTGCTTCTTTTTCCTTCGCTGGAACATCTTCTTCTGCTGTTGGATTCTCCACCTCGGTCGGTTTTGGTTCTTCCTCCACAGGTGCGTTTACTTCCTCCGTTGACTTGTCAACTGGCGTTGTTTGATCCACACTTTGTTCTGGTGTACTCTCTGCTGGTGCTTGCATAAGATCGGCTGCTTTCTCGGCCTCGTCTGGCGTTGCTTCCTCGACTGGATTCTCATCAGCTTGTCTTGGCTCTACGGCCGGCGATATTTCACTGTCTTCCAGCGTGGTTTCAATCCTCTCTGCCTCGGCATTCAGTGAAGTCTCTTCGAGGCTTGGTTGTGGCTCGGTTTCGGCAGGAATTGGTTCGAGTTCCACGGTTTCGACCTTGGTGGTATCACCTGTGACGAGTGGCTCGGTTTCGGCAGGAATTGGTTCGGGTTCAACGGTTTCAGCCTTGGCGGGATCACCTGAGATGAGTGGCTTGGTTTCAGCAGGGATTGGTTCGGGTTCCACGGTTTCAACCTTGGCGGGATCACCTGTGATGAGTGGCTCGCTTTCAGGGATTGCGCTGTCTCCGTTTCCACCTTCTTCCGATCTGGCTACTTCCAGTGTTGGTGCTTCAACAAGTTCCTCCAGCGGCTTGATGTCAGCTTCGGGAGTTTCCACTGGCGCTCCGATGCTTGTAATAGAATTTAACTCGTCTATCAACGCAGCGTCTGTGCTGTCGCCAGCCTCTGGAAATATAACTTGTTCGTCGACTTTTTCCTCCTCTGTAGAAGCTGGTTGTTCTTCGGTGCTTGGTGTTTCGGTCAACTCTTCCCTGGGAGGTTTGGAAGTCTCGGCTGTTGTCTCATCCACATTTTGATGAGTGGCTTCTGCAGATGTCTCCACAGGTTCAACAACTTTCTCTTCCGGAGCTTCAACAAGCTCCTCCTCAGCTCGTTCTTCTGGAAAAGTTGTAGCAGCTTCTTCATCCCCGCCCGTTGCTACAGCTGGTTTGTGTGTTTCAAGAGCTATTTCCTGCTCCATCACTTCAACTGGCTCGTCCATAGCTGTTTCGTTCGGTTGAGACGGTTCTTGTGTCTCTACAGAAGTATCCAGCTCGCCAGCCACTGTCTCTTCAGCTTTTACATCGTTTGTTGTTTCCGGAATCTCCTCCACCACCTTTGGTGCCTTTACTGTTTCTGAGAAAGTGTTTTCCTGGCCAGCCACTGTTTCCTCTTCATCAACCAGCTCCTTATTTTCTGTCACTGTTTCGCCAAGCACAGTATTTCCTTCGTGATCGGCTGCAACTTCATCCACCACCAGTGTTTCTATAGAAGTCTCCAAGTCACTAGGCATTGTTTCCTTAGTACTATTTTCATGATCGGCTGCTTCCATCTCCTTTGGTGTTTCTAAAGATGCTTGCACGTCAGTTTCCTCGACCTGTTCTTTACTATCGGATGTTGTTTCCTTCTCGTCAGCGATGGCAGTCTGATCAGACACTGTTTCCTTAACTCCATCGTCCACTGGTTCCGTTTCCTCCGTGCCTGCAACGACTGCTGGTGTCTCAACACTCGTTCCTGTACCATCCTCTGTTTTCTTTTCCTCGTTGCTAGCGTCGTTTTCATGCGGAGTAACTTCTTCAGAAACTGTTTCTAAAGAAGTTTCTACCGCGTCCGAGAGTGTTTTGTCATTCGTTTCGTCATTATTCCCTTGTTCCTTCTCAGTGTTCCTGGCTCCACTTTCCTCCATCGCTTCCACCTTAACATCTTCATCAGGAACAGTAAGCTCGCGTTCCCCATCAGGCAAGCTTTGACGCTCAATATCCTCTGTTATTTCAGCTACCGTATCCACGATGTCATCTCCTGCTGTGCCTTCAGTCGCTGAATCTTCTTGGCCATGATCTCCAGAGTTTCTTGCTGCATCAACAGTTACTGCTTCTTCAACCATGTCCGACTTTTCTTGCAAATCACTTCCGTCGCTTGTCGCTGGAATCGAGGCCAAAGTATCAACATCAGCTGCTGCTCCAACTTCTTCTTTCGCACTCGAGTTCTCCGGATTACCTCCCACTTCCAATGACGATGTCCCTTCGGCTACTGTTTCATTCTCATGTTGACTACTCTGTTCCTCGATCTGATGTTCCAAATGACTTCCAGGGGACTTCTCTTCGTCAGGGATCTGGGCATCACTTTCTGCACGAGGTGCTGCTTGTTCGCTTGTTCCAACTTCGATGCCACCTTTTCCACTATCGTGAAAACTTTCATCAGAAGTGTTCCTGTTCTCAGATTCCCCGACGACTGATCCGCTTTCCTCTTCAGTTTTCGCTGAATTATCAACCTCGGCCAGACTTGGTTCGTCTAACTTGAGTTGATCCTTGCTTTGCTGTGGATCTGTTTCTTCCAGTGACTCTTGTCCACTCCCATTTTTCGTTACCTCTGCTACTCGATCCTCGGCTTCTAGCTTACTTCCAAGAGTCTGATCTTCGAGAAGAACCTTACCATCAAGATCTTCGCTTGCTACGTCCGTTTGTGAACTTGCCTTGTCTTCGTCGACACGATCTTTCACAACCTCTTGTACCCCGTGCTCGACTGGAGCAGGTTCCTCGACTGGGTTCATCTCAGCTCCTTCTCCGTCATCTTTACTTGCAATTAACGCTTGACCACCATTTTCTTCGACTTTATCCACAAGTTTCTTCTCGTCCAGAGGTTCCACTAAAACAGCCGCCGGATTCTCTTCCTCAGACTTACCATCTTCGACAGGCTTTGATTCTTTTTCTCCAGATCTAACGCTTAAGTCCTTTTTACTCTGATCACTGTCTACTCCACTCTTCTCCTTATCCAAAAAACTAACGCCGCTCAAAGAACTATTCTCACTCTTGCTTTCTAAAGCTAAGCCTTCGATGGCGATGCTCTCTTCGGCAGCCTACGAGAAGAATGCGATAGAAAAATCAAAATCTTGCCACTAAAATCTTATGCTAAAGATCTCTAAGCCATACCTGGATCGCGTCGCTATTTACTTCCGCATCATCTAGGCCCATGGCAGAGGTATTCGATCAAAAACAGCACCACGGATCGATCGATCCTCCAATGAAAGAACAGATTCCGCCTCTGCTCCAAAAATCAAGCCCGGGATCGCAAAGATCGAACCGAAACTCGATCGATCGCTCGCCAGGCGCCAAGGAAAACCTATCTAGATCCACTGAGAAGAAATAATCGCCCTAAAATCTCATCATATATCCACATACACCGCCAACGTCTTGTCTCCTACAATATTCCTTCCAGAAAGGAATCGGATCAAAAAAATTGGGCGGGAAAATGCTTGCGTGTCAGGTCCACATGGCCCAGCATCTATCCACATCACCTTTCTTTTTGGTCGGCACCGTCCAAACTGTCCTCCACCCTGGCATGGGCCACACAGAGCTAGCTGTCCAGTCATTCTTTTCTCTTTTTTCCTGGCCACTAGGTGGAGAAGTTTAAATGGAGGATGATGTGGGCAATCCAAAAGGTGGCAAAGATTGGAATCCAAATTCTAAAAGATATTCACACCGACATAAAGCTGTCCAAGCTGACAATGATCTTTAGAATAGTTCTTTGGTTGCATGCAAGCTAGCATTTATATTCCTTCCCACCACATCGGCGAGAATAATATACAGAGCTTATCAACCAAACACAATTTTCTTTATACTATATAACTGTATGTACAGAGCTTCTTATCCAAACCATGAGCTCTCCGTAGAGAGAGCTGTTTCGCGTTTTTCAGTTATTTCATATTGGCTCTGTGTTTTGTCATGCGATCAACTGCTTGCTTCTACTTTTGCTGTTTCATCTGATAGTTTTGTTTCCGAGGTTGTTTCGTGATGGGCTGGTTCAACAAAGTCAACGGGCTTGTCTTCCTGAGATTCTTTCGTAGTTTCAGTTTCGGTTTTGCTTTCACGTTCGGTTTCGGTTTCAGGTTCTGCTGGCATCTCATCCTCGTGCGTCTCATGGTTTGCTTCCTCTGCAATTGACTTTGGGTTTGACGTCAGCTCTTCCACTTTTTCAGGGTCAGCAGCCGTTGACATTGTACTCTCTTCTTCTTTCTTGGTAGGAACGTCTTCTGCTACTGCTGCTGAATTCTCCACCTCGGTCGCTTGTGGTTCATCGTCCAAACTTGGTGCGTTTACTTCCTCCGTTGACTTCTCGCCAAGGTCAACTAGTGTTGTTTGATCCACACTTTGTTCTGGTGTACTTTGTTCTAGTGTAGTATCTGCTGGTGCATTCTCAACCTCATCTGGCGCTGTTTCCACGACTGGATTCTCGTCAGCTTGTCCCGGCTCTAGGGCCGCTAGTACTTCGTTGTCTTTCGGAGTGGTTTCAATCTGCTCTGGCTCCTCAACTGGTTCGTGTTCCGCGGCATTCAGTGGAGTCTCCTCGAGGCTTGGTGCTGTCTCGGTTTCGCCAGGGATTGGTTCGGGTTCCACGGTTTCAACCTTGGCGGGATCACCTGTGATGAGTGGCTGGCTTTCCGGCATTGCACGGTCTCCGGTTCCAGCTTCTTCAGATCCGGCTACTTCCAGGCTTGGTGCATCAAGTTCTTCCAGTGGCTTGATGTCAGCTTCGGGAGTTTCCGCTGGGTCTTCCACCGCCGCTTCAATGTTTGTAGTAGGATTTGATTCTTCTATTGATGCAGCGTCTGTGCTCTCGCCACCTTCTGGGAATATAACTTGTTCGCCAACTTTTTCCTCCTCTACCGAAGCTGGTTGTTCTTCTGTGCTTGGTGTTTCAATAGACTCTTCCGTGGGAGATTTGGAACTCTCGGCTGTTGTTTCATCCACATTTTGATGCGACACTTCCTTGGGTTCTCCAGGCGTCTCCACAACTCCAGCAGCATTCTCTTCTGCAGTTCCAACGAGCTTCTCCTCAGCTGGTTCATGTGGAGGAATTGTAACAGCTTGTTCTGGCTCTTGTATCTCTAGAGCTCTTTCCTCCTCCTGTGCTTCAGCAGGCTTGTCCATTTCAGTAGCTGGTTTGTTCAGACCAGTCGTTTGATCAGCCAGTTCCTGTGTGTCGTCCTCTACGTGTTTCTCTGCAGGCTCCTCCATTGGTTCATCTGCTTGAGCTGCTGCCTCTGTTTCAAGAGTTTTGTCATCTTCCGTCGTGGCAGCCGGTTCCTTTGCTTCCAGTTCCTGTGTTTCATTGTTGGTTGTCTCGTGCTTTTCCGGAATCTCCTGTTTTAGTTCGTCCGGCTTCGTAGTTTGGACTGCTTCTTGTGTCACAGGAGTTCCTTCAGAAGGCTCCACCATTGCAGGAACTGGCTCATCCACACTGGTTAATTCTGCAGCTGGTTCATCCAAACTAGTTCTTTCAGCTTGCTCCTGTGTCTCACTGGCTGGTTCGTCTACTTGTTTTTCAGGAACCTCCACTGGATCATCCATCACGACCGCTGGATCGAGCTCGTCCTTGCTCGTTACTGGTTCCTGTGTTTCAAGAGCTCTTTCGTCTGCTTCTTGTTCCCCGGGCTCTTCCACAGTCACAGCTGGTTGTGGTTCCTCACTTGGTGTTTGAGCAACTGTTTCCTCTTCAGCCTGTTTCAGAACTTCAACAGGCTCATTAGCTGGTTCATCCACAGCTGGCGTCTCAAGAAGTGGCTCTTCTGAAGCTGTGTCTTCAGCAGGTTCCTCTAACTTAGCAGCTGCTTCCTCCTCGCTTGTCGTTTGAACCGTTTCAGGAACTGCTTGTTGTTCTGGAAGTTCGCCTGGCTCATTTGGAGTAGGAGCTGGTTCATCCGCAACTGGCTGGTGAACTTCAACAGGCTCCTCCACGGAAGATGGTTCTTTCTCACTCGTTTGATCCTTTGCATGTTGCTCTGGAACTTCGACTGGTTCAGCATCTAGAGTAGAAGCTGGTTGATCCACAACCGGCTCATCCGCCACCACAGATGATGGTTCCTTCTCACTCGTCGTTTCATCCTCTGCAAGTTGCTCCAAAACTTCAACTGGCTCAACATCTAGATGCGAAGCTGGTTGATCCACAACCGGCTCGTCTGCCACCACAGAAGATGGTTCCTTCTCACTCGTCGTCTCAACAGTCTGGTCCTCTGCATGTTGTTCTTGAACTTCAACTGGCTCAGCATCTAGAGTAGAAGCCGGTTGATCCACAACTGGCTCGTCTGCCACCACAGAAGATGGTTCCTTCTCACTTGTCGTTTCATCCTTTGCAAGTTGTTCCGGAACTTCGACTGGCTCAGCATCTAGATGTGAAGCTGGTTGATCCACAACTGGCTCGTCGGCCACCACAGAAGATGGTTCCTTCTCACTTGTTTCAACAGTCGAAGATGGTTCCTTCTCACTTGTCGTTTCATCCTTTGCAAGTTGTTCTGGAACTTCGACCGGCTCAGCATCTGGTTGATCCACAACTGGCTCGTCCGCCACCACAGAAGATGATTCCTTCTCACTCGCAACGGTCTCGTCCTCTGCAAGTTGTTCCGGAACTTCGACTGGAACTTCAACTGGCTTTGCATCTAGAGTAGAAGCTGGTTGATCCACAACTGGCTCGTCCGAAGCTGTGACTTCAACGGGTTCCACCACCAAAGAAGATGGTTCCTTCTCACTCGTTGTTTCAATAGTCTCATCCTCTGCATGTTCTTCTGGAACTTCGACTGGCTCTGGATCTGGTTGATTCACAACTGACTCATCCGAAGCTGTAACTTCCACCGGTTCCAATGGTTCCTTCGTAGTTTCATCCTCTGCATGTTGCTCTGGAACTTCGACTGCCTCACCTAGAGCAGAAGCTGGTTCATCCACAACTTGCTCGTCGGCCATAGAAGGTGGTTCCTTCTCACGAGTCGTTTGAACAGTCTCATCCTCTGCATGTTGTTTTGGAAGTTCGACTGGCTCAGCATCTAGCGTAGAAGCTGGTTGATCCAGAACTGCGTCCGAAGCTGTGACTTCAGCAGGTTCCTCCACCACCAATGGTTCCCTCTTGCTCGTGGTCTCATCCTCTGCATGTTGCTCTGGAACTTCGACTGCCTCACCTAGAGCAGAAGCTGGTTCATCCACAACTGGCTCGTCCAAAGCTGTGGCTTCCTCCGCCATAGAAGATGGTTCTTTCTCACTAGTCTCATCCTTTGCATGTTGTTCCGGGACTTCGACTGGCATAGCAGCTTGTTCATCCACGGGGGATGTCTCAACGGGCTCCTCCAAAGTTTCGACTTCGGCAGGCTCCTCCTCACGTGTTGCTTGAACTGTTTCCGTCACCAGTTCTTCTGGATGTTGTCCTGGAACTTCAACAGGTTCATCTTGAGTAGGAGCTGGTTCGTCCACGACGGGTGACTTTACTGGCTCTTCAGGAGCCTCCTCCAACTTAGCTGATGGTTCCTCCTTGCTCGTGGTTGGAGCTATTTCATCCTCTAAATGCTGTTCCGGAACTTTGACAGGATATGAAGCTTCAACTTCAGCAGGCTCCTCCACATTAGCAGATGGTTCCTCCTCGCTCGTCGTTGGAACTGTTTCAACCCCCGGTTCCTTCAAATCTTGTTCTGGAACTTCGACAGGTTCATCTCGAGTAGGAGCTGGTTCATCCACGACAGGTGCCTCCGCTGGCTCTTCCAAAGCTTCACCTTCCTCCAGCTTAGCAGTTGATGGTTCCTCAGTCACGAGTTCCTTCAAATTTTGTTCTAAAACTTCAGCAGGCTCGTGAGCTGGTTCGTCCACGGGGGATGTCTCCACCGGCTCTTGCGAAGCTTCACCATCAGCAGGTTCCTTCAACTTACCCTCGGCTGGATCCTCCACAGTCGTTGTCTCTGGCGTCCCAAGAGCTGGTTTTTCAGCCTCGGCTGGTTCCTCCACAGTCGTCGTCTCTGGCGTCCCAAGAGCTCGTTCTTCAACCTCGGCTGGTTCCTCCACAGTCGTCGTCTCTGGCGGCTCAAGAGCTCGTTCTTCAACCTCGGCTGGTTCCTCCGCAGTCGTCGTCTTTGGCGTCCCAAGAGCTGGTTGTTCAACCTCGGCTGTTTCCATAGTTGGTTCTTGTTCTTCCGTTTTTGCTTCAACAGTTTCCTCTAAAGCTGGCTCAGAGGCTGCTGCTTCCTCTTTACCAATAGCGTCATCCGTAGTTGACGTAGTAGTATCCAGCTTATCCTCGGCCGGTTTCTCCGTCTCTGGCGTCCCATCTTCAACCTCGGCTGGTTCCATCGTCCCGATGGTTAGTTCTTGCAGATCACGATCCGTTGATGCTGGTTCTTCTGCTTTTCCTTCAACAGGTTCCTCCAAAGCTGGCTCAGATATTGTTGCGTCCTCTTTACCAATAGCGTCATCCATAGTCTCCAACTCATCCTCGGCTGGTTCTTCCACTGTCGTCCCAAGAGCTGGTTCTTCAACCTCGGGCGGTTTCTCCGTCTCTGGCGTCTCATCTTCAACCTCGGCTGGTTCCATTGTCCCGATGGTTGGTTCTTGCAGATCACGATCAGTTGATGCTGGTTCTTCTGATTTTCCTTCAACAGGTTCCTCCAAACCTGGCTCAGATGCTGTTGCATCCTCTTTACCAATAGCGTCATCCATAGTCTCCAACTCATCCTCGGCTGGTTCTTCCACTGTCGTTGTCTCTGGCGTCCCAAGAGCTGGTTCTTCAACCTCGGCTGGTTCCATTGTCTCGATGGTTGGTTCTTGCAGATCACGATCAGTTGATGCTGGTTCTTCAGCCAAAGTCACTGGTTGATCAGTGCTCTCTTCAACCACGCTAGGAGGCTCAGCTTTGGCTTCAAGAACTTGATACTCAGGTTCTTCCGCAGCTTCAACTTGAGGCTCATCTGCTAGTGATTTCGTTCGTTCAGTTTCTTCACCAGTTTCTTCCTGCGTCTCGGCAGTTGGCGCTGCTTCAACACTTGTTTCAACTCCCGTGTCCTCTTTCCTGTCAAGTTCAGCCCCAGCCTTCTCATCTGAAACAGCTTCCACGGTTGGAGCAGCGTCGTCAACTGTTGCATCGGGTGAAACTTCAGTTTCGACGTCAGGAGCGGAGCTCGTAACCTCGGAGTTCTCCGTGATATCAGGTGCCGTTGTCGCAGGAATATTAAAAGTTTCCGGTGCAACTTCTCTAGACTCTTCGTTTGGTTCGAGAGTATCCTCTTCCTTGACCTCCAAAGTATCAGGTCCTTGAGCTCCAGCCGTTTCTGGAGGAGGCTCGACGCCTCCTTCTTCACTTAGCACAGCCTCTTCAGACGGTGTAGCGTCAAGAGCCACTGTCGTGTCTTCTAACGCAGAACTTTCCTCACTCTCAACAGGCTGAGTAGTAGAAGCAGCCGCTTTAGCACCTGTTTCCTCCGGCAAGCTCACTGGAGCTGCTTCTTCTTTCGCAGCACCGGCACTGTCCAAATTGGTTTCCTCGCTCACAGGTTCTTCACGATCCTTTGACTCAACCTCAATCTTGCTATCTTCAACCTGTGGCGTCTCTTCTTCAGTTGGAATTTCTTCCGTTTTTTCTTCCATTGGCGGCACAATTTCGGCCTGAGCAGCACTCTCGCTGTCCACTTTTTCCTCAACTTGAGGAGGAGCTTCGTCCATTTGCAGTTCTTTGTCACCGCTAGACACATTGTCGGTTTCATGCATGGTTTCTGGTGTAGCAGCCTCGAACTCTTCGGCTTGAGTAGGAACTTCTTCCGTTTTCCCTTGATTATCTTTGCTTTCAGGCACTTTGTCGACTGTCTCTGCCGCCAGAGTTTCCTCCGCTTTCGGTTCGGTTTCTTCGACCTCGGCCTCGATGTGGGTTTCCGGCATCTGTTCGGGTTGATCGACATCTTCAGCTTTAACTTCACTTTCTCCACTTTCTGCTACATTCTCGCGCTTGGCTTCCGTTGTCTCTGGAGCAGTAGCTACATGGTCTTCAGGCTCGTCAACATTTCCTTCCACTGTCCCTCCGGTTTCGATGTTCTGTGGTACTTTTTCGTCCGCAGCAGCAGCCTTGCCTTCAACTCCCACCGTCGAATCTACGGGAGCTTCATCCGAAGGTAATGATTCGGGTACTTCCTTCTCCTCTGATGGTTTATCTGTCAAGTCTTCTAACTCCGACCTGGCTTGAGGAACGTTTTCTTTGTCCATGACATCGGGTGAAACGCCGCCACCTTGAAGAGCGGCTTCTTTGGCATCGATCTCCGCCGCTGGACTAAGTTGGTCGTCGATACCTCGATCACTGACGGCTTCCTTGTTTTCATCCGTAGTTTCGTGTTTTCTAGTATCCTGTCCAGTATCTTCAGTAGCTTTGGTGTCTTCTGTCATAACTGGCGAGTCATCAGACGTTGGAGCCTCAGGCGGAACATCTTTCAGAGCCTCGGAGACAACAGCGGGAGAATCAATTGCCATCGCTTCAGATAGTGGACTTTGATCGTGTTTGGGATCATTGCTTGAATCATCGGTGCTCAAGGGCGCGTCAGCCGCTGGAACTTTAGAAAAGCTCTCCGGGGGAAGTACCACTTGTTGGGGTAAATCATGAAAGACTTCCTGACCTTGAGGACTTTCGGGTTCCTGGAAACTCTAAACAGCTCAAGAAAAGGCATGCGATATTGGAGAACATCATCTTACCGCTTCAACTCTAGACATTCCAACTGGAGACTCCTCAGCTTTTCCAGGAATCTCACGCTGTTGGGTGATATGGTCAGCAATTAATACTTCGCAGCTCTATGGACAAGAGTACCTCTTTATTGATATCGTTCTCAGGCTTATAGAAATCCTCCACGACGGTCTTGAGTCCTCCCAGATATCTTGCTGCACGAGAAAATCCCAGTAGAGTTGGATAAGATCAAACAAGAAACTCGGTTGTTTACCTTTACCTTCACTGCTACTCTCTCCATTGGAAGACAAGGGAAGTGAAGATCTCTCTGACGAATCTGGCGATCGACGAGATGGACTCGACTTCACAGGCATCGAAAACCCGTCTAGTTGCTGGACAAGATCATGAAAAACCTCCTCCTCTTGGCCCTCCTCTTCGTGCTCATCCATTCCTTTGATTTCCTCCTTCTGGATGGTCTCAAAGTCATCTTTTGGTTCGTCGTGGATTAACTTCTTGCCAGTCTCCTGCAAGATCAGATCCAAAACAAATGAGAAATCCAGACCACCACGATAGATCGAAGTTACTTTGATCTTTGTGGCGACTTTGGAGGCCGCCTTGGACGTTCTGTGGTGGCCGTCATCCTTCTCTTTGCGTTGAGCGTTTCCCATGATGAATCAGAAGAACACACAACTATGTAAAACAATGATAGTAGAAATCTCTCGCTGCTCCTCCGTGCAAGGGGCTTGCTTCGTGCAAGCTTCTAAGAAAAACCGGAGCAAGGGAACAAAAACGCGAATGAAATCCAAGCTTGCGATCAAAAAACAGTGCAAGTATGAATCACGGTCTCTAAAATCCCTGTCGAGAAAGAGGAAAAGAATCTATATACACGAGCACGCACACCGATCTCTACGAAACCAGCAAAATTTACACAAGAAAGCGCTGAATGCCGGATTCTAGCACGAAAAAATCACTCCAGATTCACAAAATTACGCCAGCGCCAGGATCTAAGCCCCTCCCTCTCGCCACAACTTTCCTCTTCGATGGCGCCACGATAAACCCTACAGTGAAAAAACTGTGAAGGCCGGACCAATGCCAGCTATGAGCGGCGATCGTGGCCGTCCATCTGAGAACGATCCAGGCCGTTCACTGACATTGTAAAGAGAAAATATTCTTCCTTCCCCACAAGAATGACTTTCAAGGAGATCACGTAGTTGGCTTGGATCTTTTTAGAATTAAACAAAGTGATTATCCTAAAAATCGCTTTGCTGGAATGAGTAGAGAATAAAATTTATTCGATGGCCTTTGCTGGAAAGAAGCAATGCGAGAAAAAAAAACAATAGAAAGTCGGTCTCTAAAAAACAAGCTTTTCTTGTCTCTTTGCCTCCACAGTGCGTCAACGAAGAACTTCAAACCGGGAGAGATCTGGGAGCTCTACCTTTTGGAAGAACAATTTGGACGGAGAGAGATCTCGCGGCGGATCAATAGAAACTTCAAAAACTTGAGTGTGTTCTTGGTGTGTCTCGCGGGAAACGAATCTCCGGCTCTTAAGACGTAACCATAGCCATTTTAGATAAGCACCTAGCGAAACATTTAGTAAGCCATCCAGGGAAGAAACGCAAAGAGACTCTGAAGAATGGTTGGATGGTTTCCTCTTGTCAGTACCCACCTAAGCAACCCAGGCAAGGTAGTGAACACACCTGCATCACCGGGGACCTCGGAGATCCGCGACACGAGCCACGCCTTGGCGGTCGCGGTGTGCATCGGTAGCATGCTCACAATCTCCCGTCGCAAGAGTCTGCAATCAAAGAAGGGAAATGGTTTCAAGTTAGAGTGATCGTTCTCGTTTCATGGAAGAAAAACTTATACTCATTCCAAACTACACAATCGTTTGAGAAATCGTCAAACTTTGCAAGCGAGCACGTCAACAATCCTCCGAAAGAAACGCGATCTTCTTACGCACAACAACGAAAAAAAAAAGTGCAGCGTCCAAATAGAAAACTCACAGCGAAACATAGAAAGACATTTGGTAGGAAACTCATGTACCGTCTTCAGGAAAAAAAAAACCAAACAAAGAAAAAAATAGATGAAAAACTCAAACCCAGCAAACAATAAGACCCCTTCCAAACTACGGAACTGTTTGAGAGATCATCAAATTTTGCACGTGAGCACATCAGCAATCCTCGGAAAGAAGAGCTAAAAATTAGACCACCTTATGCACAGCAAAAGAAGGAAAATAAAAATAAAAATGCAGCTTCCAAATAGAACTCACAACGAAAACATAAATATAAACAAAAGACCTTTCGAAAGAAACCCATGTATCGTCACACAACTCGAGCACACAAAGAAACGATGTAAAAACTTAACCCGGAAACAATAAGACCCAAAACAAAATGCTATAGTCAGTCCAATTGTTTGAGAGATCAAGATTTTGCAAGCAAGCACGCCGGAAAGAAGAGTTAAAAATTAGATCTTCTTACTAAAGGAAAACAAATGCAAACAAAAAAAAGGAAAGAGATTTCCTTTCAGGAAGAAAAACACAACCCGAGCAAACAAAGAAAAAATAAACAGATCTTCGAACAACAATGAAAGAACTTAACCAGAGAACAATAAGAGCCACCCAAAACAAAGAAAAACATGCAAGAGGAAGCAAATTTACCCCGAAGAACGAACGCCGCCCAAGGGATTGCGCTGAGGCGCGCGGGCGCGAAAGAGCGGCGGCGCCTGAGGCCGGGCGGAGCGCGCAGCGGAGGCGGCATTGGCGAACGCCGCCCTCGCGAATCGTCCAGCACTTCTTGCAGCCATATCCTCCCTCTCATGCAGGGTTTAGGGTTTGGGGGAGACCTGACAGAACATTCCCCCCCGTCACCGAATATGCCGTCAAGCCAAGCGGCAATAAGCAATTCCATCAATTTAATTAGCAGCAATGTTCTTCGTTCCTGATTCTTTTTTCTCGTTTTTCTTCGCGATTTTTCCTTCTTTTTTTTGTGTGTTGTAGCCGATTTAAGCACTACATTCTTCCACCTGGAACATCTTGAGGACCGTTCTAAACACTCCCGCGTCGACTGGAATATCAGATATCCTCGACACCAGCCACGCTTTCGCGGTGGCGGAATGGAACGGGAGCATTGTGGAAACCTCTCGCCGCAGCCTGCATTAGCCAAGAAAAAAAAAATCCTTGTGTGAGAGTTGCGATTCGATGACCATAAACAAGATTTATCAAACAATGCATGCAACGCTGCGCTGATAGAAAAATCGACCAAAACACGAACCAAGCATGAAGAAAACCAAACGATTCAGGAAAAACGAGACCACTAATCAACTAACGAAACAAGCTTACCATTGCCGCAAGATGAGAGAGAACAAGAGCAACAAGAATTCACAGAAGAAAAGAAACCAAAAAATGCAGCATTGAGACCTCATCCAAATGCGGGAAAGGAGAAATTTCACCCTGGATTGGAACTTACACTGGCGAATTCATTCGATTGGCGAGGCTGCCCCGCCTGGGAGCGGCGAATCCCAATGGCGGAGGCGGCCGCGGGCCGGCGGCGGGCCGGCGCTGCGCCGCATTGAAGAAAGCCCTCCTCGCGAAGCCCGTCCTTGCTGCCATACACCCAAACCATTAGGGTTTAGGGTTTGAGCCACAAGGAACATTCGAAAGAATATCCACCGCGAGGAATATACCCATAGGAAAAGAATATTCGATAGCGCAAATTCTTTGCGTCTTTGTTTCTTTGGTTCAAGAACAATAACTTTGCAGAAAGATTTCATGGCGGCGATTTTTTCTTCACTCGTTTCTCAGCGATTTCTTCTTTCTTGTGTCGAGTTCGTTCTTGCTCCCGTAGTGATGGGACGTGGAATTTGGACACGCTGCAGCACTCTGTCTGAAGACCACAGTTAAAACACGCTTTCTTTCCCGGGGGGCGGAAAAAAAATATGAAATCCTCAAGAACATGCAAGCCAGGCAAACCTGCTTTGGAGGAACTCTGCTGCAAAACTTTTTTTTTTTTCAGAGTCTATGGTGAGCACAGTTTCGTACACACCTGCGTCGACAAGTATCTCCGAAATCCTCGAAACAAGCCACGCGTTTGCCGTCACCGAGTGCATCGGCTGCATTGTCAGCACCTCGCGGCGCAACCTGGAGACATACCCGCAAAAACAAAGTTTTTCAGTCCACTTTCCCCGTCAATGTTATCTACAATGACGGGAGAGCTTCAGTGCTGCTTAGCTAAGCCTCCAAAACCCAAAAACAATGGCGGCGTGTCCATCGCAGAGTGACACTCCTCAGGAAAGGATGCCACCGAGACAAAGAATAAAATCATCACAGCAAACTCTGGATTCTAGAACACCAAGTAGAACTAAACTTGTGCAAAATCATTCCAGCACAAGCAACGCCATAATTCACCCCCAAAAAGGAAAGCCACCGAGACAAAGAACAAAATCATGCACTGTGACATGCGAAAAGACCATTCTTCGTACTTGTGCTGCAAAATCCCTATCTAGAACAATGCAGCACCAGAAATGCGACAATTCCAGCAAGAAAGACGCCTTCCCTGCCATCTACTCTAGAATCAATCCAAAGCGATTCTTACCCGGACGATTGCAAGCGAGCAATGCGCGCGCCGCTCCTGGAACTAGCGAATCCAAACCCCGGCTGCGGCTGCGCGGGCCTGGCCGCCGGCCGCGGCGCAGCGGCATTGAAGAATGCCCTGCGCGCAAAGCGCCCCGCGCTCCTGGCAGCCATAATCCCTAGCTAGGGTTTAGGGCTTCTCCAGATGCTCTAGAATATCCTCCCGCCGGTTCCCGGTTCGAATATCTTTGTTCTGGCAGACGCGTGGCCCAATCCTCGGCATCGGACACGTGCCATGCTTGAAGATCGCCGACGGCCAACACGTGTCTTGTAAAGATCTTGAAGATATTTGGAACTTTCCACGTGTTTGCCCGGCAAATATCTCACACGTCACTGAAAAGCGTGTATTAGTGCTTAATGGTTTTCAGCGTATAGAAGCGAGGCTTTAGGGCACCTGGCAACAAATCCTTGGCAGTGCGTTGAGCGCGATTGTAAGTTTGATCATATTTCCTCCATTCTTGAGATGGTTTTTCTGCTATGAAATCTTCGATGGCTGCCTCGCATTTGGATCTCCTATGCTTTGGTTTGAATCGTGGTTTGAATCATCCACAGATCGCCATTCTATCGGTGTGTTTTCTTCCGGGATATTGGAACTCTAATGCTTGCATTCTCAAATATTTGTCGTATTTTTTCTTGTGGATCATTGCTTGTTCTTTCGGATCATTGGCAAAAGAAGTACTGATTTGGAAGCAATGCAGAGAACTCCGGACTTTGGTGATCTCGATCGACTGAGTACAACTTTACTTCCTGGATTTGAGAAAAAAAAATGGCGTCGGCGAGTAGCAGCAGTGGCGGTGCCTGGGACGAGCTCAAGATCCAGATGAAGGACCTCCGAGCTCTGCTCCACAGCTCCAGCTTGATCGAGAGGAGGATCAAATGCGAAGTGAAAAGGATCCTCAACACTACCATCTCCAACTACGAGGACCCTCACCGCTACGAAAACTCCAACACTGTTCTTGAAATACTTTCAGGTATGATTCGCTATAGATCTTTGCACTTTTCCTTTTTGAAAAAGAAAACGATAGAAAAACAAGAGCTAGATTTTTTTGCCTGCTCTCTGGGATCTCATTCTCTTCTGTTTGAATGGTCTAGCTCCTTCTTGCCAGGTTCTCTGATGGGATCATTCACCATCACTCCCCATACTGTATGAGTTCCGTATCTATACTGAGAGACACACTGTACAGGTCGAGGCATCTCACCGCTAGAGGCAGCGTTTATGTGGATGGGTGCTTGGAGGCCATCAGCTGCGATCTCGCTGGTTTTCTCGGTCATGGGACTCAAGAACCAGGGCCTCAACTTGAACATCACCGATCCAGGAACTTTGGGGGGATCAGTCCCAGCTCTCAGCGAAGAACAGCTCTCCCAGCTCCAGACTTTCCGGGATCTTACGAGCCAAGCCGAGAAGGATCTCACGGAAGAACTCGCGACTGTCCAGGTGAGCTAAGCACTTCGGTTTTCCCTCAAGTGATCGTTTGATCTTTGCAGATGATGCTGGCGGATCAGGACGTGGTGACTGATCTCTTGAAGGACGACGAAGGAGAGGAGGGATCGTCGTCCAGCTCCTCCAAGCTCAAGGAGACGCTCCATTCTAAAATCTCTAGCCTTCGCGATGTTTTAAAGCGGGCCGACCAGCTTCGCATCAAGACGCTGCTTGAGCTCCACTCTGTGCTGGCTCCCATCCAAGCAGCGCAATGTAGCATCGTCGCTTTTGAGGTCGCGTTTGCGATGCGCTCCTTAAATTCAGCCACACCACCCACAACATCGTGTCCTCGCAAATGATTCCCCAAAAACAGAATGACCAATGACCCCTGTCTGTGCAAATAATAAAGTGTATTTAGGTCATTGTTAGTTTTAATCTGTTATCATGTAATAGAAAATCTATACAGGGTAATTTAAATTTATAGTGGGAGAGCTCCTTGCATAATTCTTGAAGAGAATTTCTATGCAAGAATGTAAGAACTTAAAAGAGTTTCATGGACAGGGATATGCTCTTTGATCTTGTGCACAACACTTGAAAGGAGAACTCACATACCTGGATGCTCACAGTAAATTTGTCTGTATCACACAGCTCCCTCTTGGTCAGGAGTTGTAACTAGGAATTCCTCCATAGAATGGACTTCCACTTCCTCTAGAGCTGAAGCTTTAAAGCAACATAGCCATTTCAGTTTATCAGGTAGAACCTTAAAGTTCATGGTTCGCTGTGTGACCTTTGGAGCTGGACTTGGACAGCCCTGCATTGCTTACAGTTGACTTAGCAAGCTTTAGAATGCAATGCTGCACTGTATCAGAAACAGATCCTCTCATCGGTCTAGATTCCCTCCCTGTGTAAATTTGGGGCATCTCGACCAAGAGATCAAATGTGTCTACCAAATGTGTCCGATCAGCCCATGGTGAGCAGTAGACTGAAAGAGACGAATTCTCGGCGGGAGAGATTGCCATTAGGAAGGATGATGCCAAAGCTTTAATTAAATTGTTTTCGCGCGGAAGAACAGAAAAACATTGGAATATCTTGCAACGATCAACATTTCAAACTCCTTGGCTATAGTGCCTGCCCAACGCCCTGGAACTTCCTAGAAAGCATGGAGCTTTCTAGAATATAAGTCCAGGCCCTAGCCCCACCTCTCGCAATCGTTTCCCTTTTGCCAGTAGCTCTCATCACCACACTACTGGTTTAGCTTATGGGTGAGAGCTACATGGCTCATAGTTATGCTCTTGGGACTGATTGTGTGGCCGTTTTGTTGTCTTGCACAGGTGGTGAGTTTCGTGAATGCCACTGCCATCACCAACATCTCCAACGAACGTCGTGATGCGCACTGGGATCGGTCGTCAATGCTATATCAGATCAGTCTCTATCAGGAAAAGCATAGTGGAGCATATCGTCGCTAGGCAAGAAAATGGATGGACGCAGCTCCAGTGGATCTGAGGGCAATAGCGCTATTGCCCTCAGATTCACTGGAGCTGTTCACCTCGGTTTTCTTGCCTAGCGACCGATCCGATCAAGACTCTGATGTGACATTGGCGACCCATCCCGGTGCGCACCTCTCTGCTGTTTGCGAGCAACCAAAGCAGCAGCAACGTCCCAAGGGGCCACCAGCATGATGGAGATGTCGAGTGCCGCTTGTTCATCCTTTGCTTCATTTTGGAATAGAACTCCCCATTGAGATTTTTCTTCTGCTTTGGCTTTGATCTTGAAACTTCTGCACACTATGTAACTCGAGGAATGCGCGTTCAAGAATCGACACATTTCTATCTCATGATTCTCTTGTAGAACACTTCCATTCTGTAGCGCAGCTCGGAAGGATGCCAATAGCACAAAGAAAGAACACAAGAGGACACGAACAGAGCTTTTCTGCCCGTCTTACAAGCAACAAGCTGGCGAAAACAGTGAGGTACTTCAAAACTCTAATGCTCAAGCTTTTCATGAGAGTTTTGTGATTATTTCAGTGAACAGGCTAACTCGCTACGCCATGGAGTTCATGACAGCCTCCTTCATGCGCTTCCCAAAACACTTGCTCGATATTCTTTCGAGTCATGCCACTCTCTTGAGCGATTCCAGAAGTTGAGACGTGAGGCTATGTTCGCCCCAGTCTCACATGTAAGATGTCTGAGGTGACGAATTCCTTTTGGCAAATTGCTTGTTCTTTAGAACTATGTTTTTTCTTTGGTTGATTGAGAAGAATGAGGGAACGAACCTAGGGACACGTGATCCGCATAGATTGGCGTGAACGTCGCCGGATCATAGTTCATCCTCTTCTGTCTACAGCACTGAGTGACAAGGTGCCACAGATTCCTAACCACAGATTCGAAGTTGCTATTGCCACCATCTCCAGGTTCTCCGGGACAGCAAACATCAGCACAGGCTTGCGCCTTTGCCGGGTTCCGGATGCATGCTCATTTGAGGAAGCTCAAATGGTGGTCGAATGAAGCCTTGACTCACATTGCGTTTCCTTCTATGTGATTTTTCTACACGTTTTTCATGTCCCCGCGACGAGACGCGACGCCCATGAACAGCCCCCCAGTTGCGTATTATGTTGTTCCCATCCTTTTACCTTACCCTGTAAGTTCAGCCCCCAAAAATGCAGTGAAGGAAGCTGTCGTTGATTACCAGAAATTTGGACAAGCTATCGAAAATGCGGAAGATTGCAGAGATGAGAAACGACGTGATGGGACGCCTTATACCTTGAAGATACTTCTCTTGCAATCTTCGTTTGCATATAGTGTTGTGATTCACAGCAGCGGAGGCGATTACTACGCCTCATCCGGCCCACTCTTTTTGGCAAAACTCTCAGGCGGAATGATCGCCTTTCTTCCTTCCAAACATTAGGCCACACTTGGCAATGATCCCGTTCGTCCCACGTTTTGGGAGGCCAATGCGATGATCATCAGGACGCTGCGCCGCGGCATCCTGATGCATTGCGTACATTTGCATTAGAAAGTTTTAGAAAAAAAATGCTGCGCTGCGGCATCTCCGGAAACAGTTCGTGGCATGGAAACTGATCGCAGTTATACAAGAGATCATCGGCCAAATCCTCTCTGAGCCTATGATCAGCCCCCCCTATGCTCGAAGTTTTCTTAACTTGTTTTCGCGCGCGAATTATAGATGAGATCTGGGCCGTCCGTTTGAAGATCCCTTGGAATATTTTGCAACGAATTCAAACTCCTCTTCTCGGCATTGGTTTCTTGTCGCTCCATTTTGCATTAATTCCCGCCCTTGTTAAGAGCCCAGGCCTTGTGCTCAAAACGCGAGCATAGTTTCCCTTCAGCGCTCTCTCGTTTCACCGCACATACGGTAAACCACCGCAGCTAAGAGGAACCTCAATGGGGAATCCTTGAAGAAAAAGCAACACCTCGGCAAACATAGTGTCATTGTTGGATGAAACTGCTGAGCTTATTTCAAATATGCTAGAACCAAGTTCCAACTCCATTTGCCAGGGAGTCATCGAGAGGCATCACGCCCAGCGTATAGGATTTCTTCGTTGTTCACGATATCATCAATCTCACTTCCGGTGAGATCGCCGAAAGTCCATCCATTTTCGACCAGCGGAGCATCTCCAAGAGTACCAGCCTTGTCTTTCTGGCTTGCTTCAACCATACCAAGCTTGGGCTCTTCTTTTCCAATTGCAGTCGCATTCGCTTCGCGAGCTCGGTTTCCAGTCGCAGTAGCATTGGCATCGCGAGCTCGGTTTCCAGCAGCAGTAACTCGTGATGGCGTTTCGCCACCCGCGATACTACGTCCGCTCGCAATCTCGATTTTCCCAGTATCAATACCGTTCACTACCATCGCGAAAGTTCTCACTCCGCCAACATTTGGAACAGTTGCCATCCCATCCGATCTGTTCTCCCCATTCGCAGCATGATCCTTTCCAGCAACTGGAGGAGCTTCCACCTTGCTGTTCTTCCCATTCGCAGTGTGATCCTCTCCAGCAACTGGAAAAGCTTCCACTTCACTGTTCTTCCGTTCTTTTCGAGCAACTGGAGGAGCTTCCACTTCACTGTTCTCTCCATTCGCAGTATGATCCTTTCCAGCAACTGGATGATCTTCCACTTTCCTGTTCTCGGTATGATCCTTTCCAGCAACTGGAGGAGCGTCCAGTTCCGCCAGTGGAGGAGCTACGACCACCTTCCCCAGAACCGGATAGACTTGCGACTTAAACACCGTCTTCCTGATCGTGAACCCCGGCAACACCGAAAACGCCACGCTCCCCCCGATCGCCAGCCTCTCCTCATCATCCTCGACCTCCTCGAGATCATCCGCGGTGATCACGCTCTCCATGAACGCCGGCTCAATCTTCCTTCCACTCGCTACGCGCAGAATCCTCGCAGCTGGGTAGAACGAGAAGGCCAAGCGATGGAGCTTCCACACCGATAGCGCCACCTTCTCGAACTGCGATCCATGCTTTGCCTCGTCGAAGCCGGGGATCTTCCCCCGGAGCTCCTCCATCTTGGCCACCGCAAAGACCTCCACTCGATACTCGGGACAAGCTTGGAACTCCTGGAAGTAGCGGCGGCGCAGCTTCTCCGGATCGAGGAACTCGGTGAAGCCGCCATCCAGGCCAAAGGTCTCAGCTTCGAAGCCCGCGAAGAACACGTCGCCCAGCGCTGCGCGGACGGCGATCTTGCGGTGGAGCGGCCGCGCAAAGACGACCGAGGAAAGACCCGCCGCTAGAAACTGGGATGGAAGAATCGATGCGAGATTCTGGATCGCCTCGTTGGCCTGCGCTAGGGCCGCCTCGAAGAGCGTCGGCGTCGCGGACGAATCGGAGTAGGATCCCCCGAAAGATTGCTCCGAAATCTGGCGCTCCAGTCCGTCGATCTTGCGCTCTAGCTCGCTGGCCATGGATAGCGCCCTCTCCGTGTTCTTCTTCTCGAGTTCCAAAGCCCTGGAGTTGGTCTCGCGGATGCGCTGGATTTGCCACTGTAATCGCCGATTCTGCTCGTGGATTTCGCGAAGTTCTTGATCGAGCGAACAACATCGCTGATCCAGCAGCCCATTCCTCCGCTCGAGCTCCTTGCAGTGCTGATCCTGATCAAGGAGGCGCTGTTGGAGCGCGCCATTGACACTGACCTGGGATTCGAGATCATCCTCGAGCTTTCTCTTCTTCATCGCGAAGAGCGTCCCGAAGATCGAAGAGACGAACCACATACTAAAACTCTGGCGCTCTCTTCGCCCATCGCCGGCGCTTATAAAAGCGCTTCATATGAGCGTGATGTCACGTCCTAGTCTAAAAGCCCTCTAAACCCAAGAACCCTAAACCCTAGGTAGAGAGAATATGGCATCGCGCATGGCGGGTCGGGCATTTGGGCGGCGCATTCTCCAGGCGGCGCCGTCGGCGTCGCGGCGGTCGGCGCCATTTGGATTCGCGGGCGCCGCGCCTCGCAATCCAGTAAGATCCAGGTAAATCCCTTTGTGGGTGTCACAGATTCTTGCTTCTTTGTGATCCCGAATCTCTCCTCTTTTGCGAATTCTCTTGTCCAGCCACTTTACGAGTACATTCGTTATTCTTCTCTCCTCCTCTTTGCAAATTCTCTTGTCCAGCCACTTTGCGAGTTACATTCGTTATTCTTCTGTCCTCCTCGTTGCAAATTCTCTCGTCCAGCCACTTCGCGAGTTACATTCTAGTTGCCATTCCCTTCTCTTTTTGCTCAAACTTTGCAAGGTTTTCTAGCTTTCTCGTGTGCTGCCGCAAGCTTTCTAAGTTACCTTGCTTAGAGTTTTCTCTTCTGGCAGCTTCCCGATTAGCTTGCGAAGTATCGTGACGATTTATCTTTGCTGTTGCCTCTTTGGAGATCAAAGTCTCTTGTGTGCTCTTCCACTGCGAAGTTACATTAGAGTTTTCTCTTGTTGGTATGAATGACTATTACACACGTCGTTGCTCTCTCAAGTGGCAACTTTGAGAGCCTGTGACAAATCTCGATCTCTGCCTGGCAGGATCTTCCGGCGGGAGCTTCTGTCGATGCGGCCGCTCCACAGCGCGACGGCCGACTGCTGGATGGTGTCGCGGATCTCGGGCTGCGCAACCTGCTATGAAGGTGATCTCAGCTGTCTCTTGGTTCGTTCTCGGATATGGTAGAAACTGTTGCCATCACTTTAATATCAAAGGTGGGTGTTTCAGGCATCTATCTCAAGTGGTTGACGATGTGCCTCGAGAATTCGCAGTCGGTGGCAACAACATGATCAAGTGAAAGAAACCAAGACGAGAAATACCTCCTGTGGTGCCAGCTTTGCCTGGACTTGTCATCAGTTTAGTTATCTTGTTCTCATGCTTGTTCTCAAGAACTATCTGCAATTATTCAAGTGCACACATTTTTCTCCTTCGTGTTAAACGGAAATTTCTAAGTACCTTGCTTTGCTGCTACCATCGGTTGCCAAACTGTCCATCCCACTCTCGAAGCTGGTCGAGGTATCCAGCGTTATAAGATAAATTAACCTGCGGAGGATTGTCAAAAAAACGCTTGACAACAACACTTGACATATAGAAGCATACCTCCTCCAGAGTACTCACGAAGTCCTGTGTTGTAAGTGGCCTTAGTTCTTGAGGCAGTGGCTGTCCAAAAGCATTTCTTTTGGCCTGAAAACGAGGATGAGTTCACGAAACAGTAAATTGAAATTGGAAGCAAGTCATTTACTTTCTCTAACTCCAGCATTTCTCGAACAGGCCGATACGCTGCAGCCACAGTTAAGTTCTGAAAGGAAGCAATAAACGTTATGAATCACAAACAACTTAAGAGTGACACCTTCAAGTCATTTGCGCTATAGCCATCAGTTAATTCTGCTACTCCTTTAAAGTCGAAGCCATTCTCAATCTCCTCCTTGGCAAGCAGCACAACAAGGATTTTTTCACGGCTTGATAAATCTGGAAGATCCACGCACAATCTGCCATCAGAGAGATGAGCAACAATGTCGTTTTACTATTGAAAGTAGACCTTTTCGGGAACTTTTGAATGACTGATTCGTCCAAATGGAAGGGTCGGCATGTAGCTGCCATCACCACAACTGGCTCTGCTATTCCTGACATGAGCCGATCCCATCCATAGATAAACTCGAACTTGAACCTCGTCATTGCTTCTCCAGCTTGTATGGCGAAAATACTGTCGATCTGATGACAGCGCTTACAAGAATAGAACAAAAATGAAAGTGAAATGCACCTCATCGAGAAAAATAATTGATGGAGCCAGCCTGCGTGCAATTGAAAACCAGGGCTCTGGTCATCCGCTTCGGATCCTCAAGCCACTGCACCACAGAAGCTTCAGTGCCAAACTCACAACCTCTATTAAGGGTACCTTGTACTCAATAGAATTGCCTCTAAGCCAAAATAAGTTCGCGGAAGACTGGGCTGCAACGGCCTTTGTCAAGTAAGTCTTCCCAGTACCAGGCGGTCCATATAAAAGTACACCTTTGCAAGGCTATCCAGGCGTCAGAGACACAAAGGTCGTAAGCTTTCAAGACTTACACATGCCAACGCTCCCTTGGCAAAATGTTCTGGTCTCAGGAGGGGCACCACAACATGCTCTCCAAGAATTTTCTTCACATCCTCAAGTGCACCAACGTCATCAAATTTCGGTGTGCCGTTTGGCGCCAATATTGTAGACAACACAGCTTCTTCGAACTCGTCTTTTGCTACTAGCTGTCAAACAAAATTAAAAGCAGTCAAATTTGATACAAGCAAATACCTTAGGACCTTGCGCATGCTTGAGCCGTCTCAGCTTGAGAAGCGCTCTATCCAAGCTGCAAACCTGCATTATCGATCTGATTAAACAGCACAATCTTCCACGTACCTGCCTGCCGAAAGAGAAGTTTTGGCAGTCGATTTGTCTACGTGAATATTCTGTGAGTTTGAATATTCGTAGCTCACTGCCCAACTTACAACGTACTCGGCCTCTGTAGTAACTTCAGTTCCTCAGCGTTCCTTCCAAAGAAGAATCGGCTTACCCGAGTATGTGAGAAGGAAGTCACATATTTGAAACTCCATAAATTCCAAACACACCAGGTTGTGGGACGTCAGAACCTGAAGAAACACTTAACAAATAAAAAATGAATGGAAAAATAGAAACCTGAACCTTCTGTAATAGTTGGATATTCTTATTCGCAGTAACACGCTCACCGTCTTGCAAAAGAAGCGCTTTCCATCTCCAGAAGTCTAGATCATCCTATGAGCTGCCAGAATCAGCTCAAGCCTAAACAGTCGTGTAAACGATACCTTTGGAGGAAAAATATCGACCACATTGGCGAATAAGTTATGTATACTCTTCAAGCTCTTCCTTTTAACCTGAAAAAAGCTGTCAAATGACAACGAGTGACAATTATAACTAGTTACCACAGAAAGAGGCTCATCTGCATCGGAAGTGAAGGTGGCAATAAGAGCGACGTTTCCAATCACTTTGTCCAATTGCCTTTGTAAATTGTCAATGATCTCCTGCTTCCAAGCTACAGGGACTGCTCTTTCAAACCATTGCTCAAGTTCCGGGAAGTACACAATCAAAGGCTTAGCGCTTCTACTTATCTGTAAAAATAAGATGAAAAAAAATCCAAGCATAAAAGACAGGATACCTCGCACAAAGCGCTGATAGTGGCTTGCCATGCTGCAAGGAACATTGTATTTCCAGATTGATCCTTGTCAAAATCAGACGCTAAAGCAAGGCTGTTAACATATTCTCGGTAAAGTAAAAAAACGAGCTTACCATAATGCCATTCAATGGGAGGACTTCTTCGAATGTCCTCGAACCTTGTTGTTAACTTGAGTGCGTCCTCCGTCGCATCAAAGAGGATCCCAATCTTTCCAGAAACACTTTCAGAGACGGCAATGACTCGACCTCTACAATCAGTCTCAACAAATAAGTAAATAAATATCGTAAAACTGAAAAACGCTACCTTTGCCTTTCGTCCCTTTTGCTTACGACACGATCACCTGAAAGCAGCATCTATGTCATTTAGGCAAATTGTAAAAGCTCTTACCTTTCCTGAACCCATATTTGAAGCCCGTCACCTTCAATGGTGTACCACATGTTCAGTAGAATACAGAGGCAGTATTACAAACTGTTACCTTCGACATATCATCATCTGCTTCAACTGCATCAGTATAACCATCACCGTGATCCTGAAAGGAACACAAATTCTCGTAAGTCAAATGGACTGATAACAAAACAAAAATACACGAGAAACGAAGATGGATGGACATACAAGTTCTGGCAAGGAACCAGAACCTCAAGCACATACTTGAGGAGCAAGATCTGTACTATCGAGCATTAGTAACGCTACGCCTTGATCATGAGCAATTGCTTTCACCAGCATTTCCTGGTACATTTCCGAATCTTTCACACAAAAAGTCAGAGAGTTCGTTTTCACTTTGGCATTGAGGCTTACTTTGTGGACCATTCAGCAAGATCGTATTGCTGGAGGCACAAAGGCCGGACAAGTGACTCGCTCGTCTAGATTGATCGAGGCACGATCCCAGCGCCTCAACTAGGAAATCCCGAGTGACATCACTGGACACAATTTGCAACAGTTAGCATACCAGCAACGCGAAATAAGATTATATACCTCAGGTAATATGGAAACTTCGTCAAAGAAGCGTTGATTCTCTCGGCGGGCTGTATTTTCTCCACGAAATACTTCTTCAGTGACAGCTTCAAACCTGTCCCGACCGCTTTTCTATACTCGAAAGCTTCCCTTGCGACAGTCACGTCTCTCTCGAGCCGTTCCCGTTCCTGCTGTGCCTCGCACAACGCCTTGGATGCCAAGTCCACTTTCCGTTCGGCCTCGCAGAGATCCTTGCATTTAAGTTCCTCCCTCCGCCTCTCGAAATCTAGCAAGTCATCAAACTCGTCACCATCCTGCTGAGCACCAAGAGCTCCATCCACCTGAAAAAACGCAAACATTATATGGCAGAAAACGGCAAAAAAAAAAAAAAACCAAACTTACAGGTCCATTCCTGAATCCCACGCATCCGTCTTGAGACCGCATAAGCAACTTAGCACGCTTCTTATCAACTTTAGCAAGCTCAGCCAGCCTGCGCTGCCAGTCGACGTTCCTCTCCCTCTCCACCTCTTTGAGCAAATCTCCATATCCATCACCGGCCGCGACACCCACGCCCGAATCCCGTTTCCTCTTGGTCGCCCTCGTCATCTTCTTCCCAGAGCCCAGCCGTGGACTCAAGCCAGCAGCATTCGAGAACTCCTGGTAGCTGCTCGTCTCCGCCGCTTGGCCCGCCACCACGTTTGAGTTCTCACTCGGCGAAGCGTCCAGGCCAGTCTCCCCAGGACCCTCGAGAAGAAGAGTGTGACCACCTCTTCCAAAAGAGTTCCCGGACTGTGGCGACGTAGTAGGCAAGCTCGCGGCCGGAATGTTGAAGATCAAGTCGCCACCATTGTCGAGAACCACGACGTCCTCCTCGTCACTCCCCTCGGTATCCTCTCCACAGCCATCGCCCACGGCGGGCTGTCCAGAGATGGGCGAAGCTCCCGCGGCGGAGAGCTTGGTGGTGTTGCCAAAGAGCTTGTTCATCACCACGTAAAACTCCCAGGGAGAGGTGTGGCCAGTGGGAGCGTACTTCATCCTCTCGCGCTTGTAGCGCTTCTTGAGGTTGTCCACCTTGGTCCGGCATTGCTGCTCGTTCATGCTGATGCCACAGAACTCGTTCACCTTGTTGGAGACCTCGGTCCACTGCGCCATGGTGAGATTGCCCATGTTGCTCTTGGTCCACACGTCCTTGAAGCACTCGAGCAGCATGATCGCGTGCATAAAAGGCCAGGAATCTCGGTTGGCCTTGCGCTTGCGCTGCTGCTGCTGCTGCTGCTGCTGCTGCTGCTGTTGCTGGCACTGTGATTGCTGCTGCTGCTGGGGATGGCTGGAATCGCCATTGGCGGCATTGCTCATCCCTGGCGAGAAAAATCACACTGTGAGCTCCGCACAGATCGATAGAATTGACAATCCCGAGGATAATTCTTAAAATCTAGCTGACAGGGATGGAAGAAACAAGAAATCTCAGGCGCTTGGATCGAGATGAAAATCTAGGCGAGAGAGGAAACGAAAGATTTTTGAAAATCTAGCCGAGAAATCTCTGGAATCTAGGCTCTTGGATCGAGATAGAAATCTAGGCGAGAGAGGAACCGAAAGATTTTCGAAAATCTAGCCGAGAGAGGGAATGTCTAGCGCCGCGCATTCGCAGAAGCGCACATTTCTCACCTGACATCGATGCCGCCCCCGCCGCTGCCGCCGCCTCGCCCTTGCGCGCCCGGGCGGCAGCATCCAGGCTAACGTTTAGATCCATCCCCTTTTAGGGCTCTTCAAATTGGAGAGAGAATTTAGGGTTCTTGGGCTCAATGGCAGGGAGGGGGGGCAAAGCGCAGGAAGGCGGCAAGCGCAAGCGCGGAATGTTTAGCAAAGAATGTAAGCATGGAATTTCTCATCTCTTTCGGTTTCTTTGGATCGATCGATCGCTCGCGCTTTTGCAGTGAGGCTCATGATGTATGGATTTGGAGACGATATTTGTGTAAGCTCGCTTTCTTGTTCTAGTTTCTCTCTAAGCTCGTCTTAAAAGACTCCTACAGCCTCTTCAAGAATCGGTAGCTCTTATGGAGGACATGATGATCGAATATATCACTGATATGGTGTGCTTCGTTTTTTTCTTCTTACCTTTGCTAACTAGAATTTTTTCCAGGTTCACAAGGCTCAAGAAGTATCCTCGAAGAGAGGAAAGCTCACAACAGAAGACGTGATGTTTCTCGTCCGCAAGGTAACGATTTAATCTTTGTTTAGCGAAATGGTCATCGAGCTTCTATTATTCCAGGACATCCGCAAGTATGCCCGTGTGAAAGAGCTCTTGTCCATGAACGAGGAACTAAAACGTGCCAGGAAAGTTCTAAACGAGGACCTGGACGAGCAAAAGCTTGCCGCGCTAGAAACCCAGTGAAGAAGGCGACGCTAGCTCGTCGACAAGTAGCAGTAATTTATGCGGTAAGTAGCATACGTCCAGCGAAGAAGACAGTGACAAAAGTAAAAGCAATTCAAGCTTGACATAGATAGGTAGATGAATCCGGGTGATTCATACAGACGGGGATATAGATTGGTCGACCGATCCGGATGGTTGGTTCATACAGGTGTTCAAAAAGATCACTCCTTTTGGTCATCTTCGTGGGAAGCAGTAGGGATGGCCAGGTTATGACAGGAATCTGTCATTACAGCACGGTGGAGGAGATGCCACCATTCGAATCCGTGCTTCGGATATCCTTCAAGACAAAAAGAGCCGACACGAGTTTCACGGAAAACTCGTACTGAGAGTCCGAGGCGGCGTCTTTCGTGTGAGAGGCAAGGCAACTTATAAGTAGCAGCAGCAGCAGCAGCAGAAAGCAGCAGCAGCGGTTTCATTCTTCTTTCGCTTGTGTGTGACTTCTTTGTCATGGCGGCAGGACTGAAAAGCAGCAGCGTTCCGTTTCACGCTCTGGGTGTGAATTCCAGCGCCAAAAAGGCAGCTCCGTCGAGCAAAGGTGTCAGAGCATACAGGGACTCGAAGTATGAAGCCAAAGGTTCTCAAGCTCTCGCTCTCCCGAATGGAGTGCACAGCATGAAGTCCGACAGAAGCTCTCGGGGGAATCACTTTCAAGCTCTCGAGACATCTCCCAGTGGCACGCAAGCTATCCAACACTCTCGCAGCGATTCCCAAGTTCTCGACTTGATCAACTCCACAGCAGCGAGCTCTCGTCCTTGGTGGAGTCCACTTTTCGATTTCTCCAGAGAGGTCTACGACTTGGATGCTTCTACTGACGAGATTGGCGATGAGATTCAAGCAGGGAAAGCTCCGAGCCGGGAAGTTCCGCTAGAACCAGAAGAGAAATTCAAGCTGCTAAGATCTCAGCTCCGGGAATCTGAGAGCTGGCACGACACCATGTATCACTCGGCCATAGCTTCACGCCTCGCAACTAGAGCTCGAGATTGAGCTCGAGATTGGTAGATAAAATCGATCGCATTCTTTGTTTTAATTCTTTTGCAAGTGTACATACACGATGATGAATACTACAACATATCGCCTTTGGGCGTTTACAAATGTGTGTGTGTTCGTTGCGTTGTTTTTGCTATGGCTGCTTTACTCTCACTCTCCTTCCAGTACCGTCGGTTCCATCCGCCAAGTGTGTCCATACGGACCTTCGTTTAGATCCGGGCCTTAGTTCGTCGTCGTCGCCTCCTTCCACTCCAGCCACCGTTCTTAGCAATTCCGATTGCAATGACGGGCAGCTCTCCTTCAAGTAGTCGAAGCCATCGCTTTGGATCACGGCTAGAAAGACGAAACGAAAAGAAACTTCAGTCGAAGAAGAGAAACAAAATGGAGATATCAAACCTGCCAAGTTGGAAGCGGCAAACTTGAGGCAAACTCTCTTGAGTTGCGTCGCATGGTGCTGCTCCGCTAGAGCTAGTGTCGTCGCCACTGTGTCTATGCTCACGTCCTCGCAGAGCTTTGCCTCGCAAACTATCCTCAGCCGGTCCAGTCCATAGCGATCAGCCGCGGCGAGCAAATGTTGAGCCATCATCGTGGAGGCCAAAGATGTTGACGAGTAAGAGCTCGAGGACAGCACCTCACTCGCATCTGGAAGCGCATCCCTGTATATAAAGTAAAGCATTGCCTGGAGAAACAAAAACGCTGTCAATCAGTTCGAGGCTTAGAATCGCTTACATACCTCGAAAACCGGAGCCTTGATATCTTCCAGTTGTAACAACTTAACGTTGGAGTCACTGAGAGGCCCGTTGAGTTGCGCTCGAAAAACGGGAGATCGAGCCGCCAGGACCATCTTGTGCGCGTGGAACACCTCTCCGTCCACCTCAAAAGTAATGTCCGATCCCTCTCCAGACTCCAAAAGTGCTCCAAAGTGGCGGCCAATGTCCGACTCTGGCACTGGCAGACTTTGCTGACGCAAAGCCTGCATTGACGAGACAACCACGCCAACAGTGCAGGTGATGGAAAGGCTATCATCTTTCAGATAATCCGAGGTCTCTAGCACCGCGCGGCGAAAGAAACGTTTATAGCCCCTGTAAGTCGAGAAAGCTTGACTGAGTTAGAAATGTCGAGATGGGGATAAAAGAAAATTGAAAATCCTTGAGCTGGAATGCAAGAGAGTATATTTCATGCCGGCCTTGTCAAAGACGCTATCCATTCCAACTTGGAGCTGGAAAATTCCCGTTGATCAATACGTGCTAAGCAAGTGACTAATGCACAGACCCCGAGGAAAACGCAAGCAGTCGTCTACTGAAAACTCAAGTCACGCTACAATCGGCATAAAGTGCGCACAAAGCATAGAATCCAGACCCGACTGTCACAAGGAAGAAAACCAGCTAGCTAGCAAACCAAAGATCACAAGGAAGAAAACCAAAGCAAAAGCGAAAGAATTACGTACCACATACTCCCTCGATACTTGAGAGTGTAAGGACCACTCTCAAGCGATCGATCAAAGTGGCTGTGAACCTTGTGCTTGTCTTTGCCACTCTGATCCAAGAGCGTCAGCTCAAACAGCGCTCTCACGTCCGTGCCTTCGCTCGCGAGAGCTATAAACACCGAGACGTAGAGGGAGCTATCCTCCGTGTTCTTGCCGTCTGGATAGAAGTAGACCGCCCACTGGTAATTCCCCACCGAGAAGGTGTTGCTAGAGATGTACTTGCCGACGCCCATCCCCTTGGCAAGGGAGTAGCCATTGATGGTGAAGTGATGCGAGCCATTCACAGTCTCGGTCACGGAGCGTGATCGCGAGGACGCGGCGATGGATGGATTGGCCGCGGCAGTGGCTCCCTCCTCCGGATCTCGTGCCATGGACGAGAAATTTCACCCCCGGATTCTTCACAACCGCATGAAGGCACTAAACCCTAGAGTACCTCGATCGATCGATCGCCTGCCTCGCGCGTGCTAGAATTCCAGGCGCGCACGAGCATCCCTAGAAACGCGAGCCCTCGCGCGCACGCACGCGTTTCTTGCGCCGCCGTGCGTACGCCCTAAAAGACAGAGAGACCATTAAATTAGTTAATTTAATTGTAATGTGATTAGATTTTATAAATTCTAACGTAACAGTTTAACTTAATGGTAATTTGTTCAGACGAGAAATTACCATTAAATTAGCTTAATGATAAAATTAGCATTTTCTTTGTATTTTTCCTTAAAATCCTAATGTTACACTTTTCTAGCATTAAAAGTAAGACTTTTCTTTAGGGCTTTAGCACACATGTGGTAGAGTTCCCTATTTAATTTCTTCCTTATCTCAGACTGTGCAAAATGATGCTAAGATCAAAAAGAGCATGATCTTGCCAATGTGCCAATCAATCAATTGCTAAGCTCTCAAGCTGTGCAATCAATCAATCTATGTGCTACTAGAGTTTTGAGGGATTGATAATTAATCAATTGCACTCAATCGTTACAATCACTAGTTTAAGGGGAAAGAGATAGAGTATGTTATATGTGGTATTAGAGTAAATGGCATGGGTTCAATTTCTATTATTTAATGGCTACTTAAAAATATAATATACTTCTAAGTAAAGTATATTCCTACTCCTAAATTTGAAATCATACATATGAGGCATCGATACATATGCCTTTCCTATTATGGAGCATCTATGGATAAAGTTAAGAAATATACTCTAAAATTTGAAATTATATATATTGAGTATCCATACATATGTCTTTTCTCTTTTGGAGCATCCATAAATGGAGGTAGGACTATAGTATAGGTAAATTATTAGTTGACTCACTTGAAATAACTAATCTATACAATGGAAGGATTAATAAATTTAGTGTGGAAATGACCCCTATCTTAGTAGGGGTTATTAATTAATAATATACCTCTTACAATATAAAGGTTATATTAGATAATTTATAAAATAACTAGTCTATACAATAGAAGGATTGATAGATTCCCTTTGGCTCAATAGTGGTTATTAATCACTATCCATAGCTCAATATCAAAAGCTTAGTTATGTGGATAGTTTATAAATTTGAGAAATTATGGATTTTTCTTTTATCGTTAGAGAATTTTAGAAAGTCCCAAATCTATGTTGGTATGTTAGGATTGCATTAGATGTGGCAATGGATACCTATAGTGCCCATTAGATTTTAAGGAATATCCTTCAAGTTTTTTATAAGGATCTGTAGGAATATTTGATTTCATGTGCATAATATACATTTTTATTTATAGAATATTCAATTTCACATATAAAATATTCTTTTAAAACTAATATGTGATGCCACATGGAATGTTTTACATGCAATATGAACTTTTTTCACATAGCACCAATTTACAAATAATATGCTATAGAGTGTGGCTAGTGTTCTCTTTGATGGAGCAAGTGGCAGTACAATTTTAGAGGTCAGGCAAAACCAATAGGCCATAGTAGCTATCAAATGGAGTTTCTATGGATGCTCATGGCATAGATGGCATGGATATTATTGCATAGTGCCTAATCTACATCCTAGGCAAATGTGTGAGAGAGTATAGAGAGGAGGGGAATTGCAAGTGTGGCTTCTAGAGCACCATCTGTTTTTTTTCTTTATATCTTTGAGGATATATTATATATCTATTCAAGAGAGGGAACTTTGTGATGGGAATTTTCCTATGGTCTACTTCTTCACTATGTGACTGCATCTTTGGTCATTACATTAGAGGATTGCTCCTTTTCCTTCCACCATCCAAGACTTTAGGACAACATTTTGGAACACTGTGGCCTTACACGAGCCTCATGGTCACTCTCCCCACTTTCCTCCTTTGGGTGCTTTAGCCATGGGGCTAGAGTGAGGTTCCGTTGAGCCACACTAGGTATCAAAATAAGTAATGCCACCCACGCTTGAACTGGGAGCATTGATTATTTAATCTCCTAGGAGGAATTAGAGTTAGCTCTTGAACACTCACTAAACTACCTTATTTGTTAGCACGTATTCACTCTAACCTTGGACTTCCCAATGGTTATTTCATCACCCAACACTTGGGTACAACCTTCCTGGGCCAAATTAGCCTTTCCTAGCCAAACTAGCTCCATTAGGGTCTAACCCCCATACTCTCCCTACTATACCCCATCTAAGGGACGATTGTTTTGGGCTTTCATCCAACAACCTGTATTAGTATTCGGACTTGAACTTAGACTTGGACTTGGACTCAGACTCAAACTTGGTCTCGGTCCCGGTTTTGGACTCGGACTTAGTCTCGGTCTCAGTCTCAGTTCCATCTCGAATTCCATTTCAGACTCCATTTTGGGTCCATCTCAGGTTTCATCTCGGGTCCATCTCAGACTTCAGCTCATGTCCATCTCAAACTCCATCTCAAATCCATCTCAGACTCTATCTCGAACTCCATCTCGGGTCTATCTTGAACTCCATTTTAGACTCTTCCATGTGTCATGTGTTGGTCCTTTTGTGTCCCCTTTTCTAGAGACTCATTTGTTTCTCATTTCATGCTCTATCCTCAAGCATTTTATTGAGAGGTCCACTCTTGCTCTTGACCGTTCGAGTCGGAGCTTTTTAATCCAAGTATGTTACACTTTTTTGGCTTCTGCCTCAGCCACTAACATATGGCACCCTTTTGGCTCCACTTTGGGGCTTAGGGATTTGTGTTTCACAACTTCACCACCCATAAATAAAATTTGATGTCCTCGTTGAACAATAAACCATTTTATAAAGTAACACCAGCATATATTACCCTTTTCATCTTTGGCACCTAGCTAATATTTATCAATAGTCTGACACTGAAGGCTCACCATACCTTGTCCATCCTCTAAGGAGTATAATCTCTCCAATTTAGAAACTCATTAAACCATTTATAGTAGTCCTTCTCTTTTTGTTTATTTAGTTCATGCTAAACGTGTTAGAGATACTGTCTCTATTTTAATTTGAATACTCATTCAGGAATAGCCTCAACCTCTACCAACATAACTTTTGCACTTTGGAACTTTTAATTTTGACTTTTCAAATTTAATTCTCTAGGTGTCTCTAACACCTGACATTGCATGTGTTGTGCAAACTCAGCTTCCCTATCTTAAAAAGTTCTTTATTTGAGGGCACCATCATCCTCTAATCTATTTGGTGCCACTTTATGCACTAAGTTTCATTTTTCTATAATTTGTGTTAAAGTTGTCCACGGCCCTATCATTTGGCTACCTTGCCCTCCTTCCCTTAGAGCTTTTGCTTCGCTAAATTGGAGTATTTAGGAATCCATTCTTGGAAATATATTTCCTTTTCCACAATCTATTAGCACTAAACACATGAGTGTTCCTTGCCTAACCTTTCCATTTAGATTCCTTCTAATGATTTCTATAGCCCATTCTTATCCCTTAGTTTTCTACTCTTATCCTTTGATTGTTGCACCAAGCAACATAGGATCACTCCCTCCATCCTCGAGGTATCTTTTTAGTTCCATAGCAAATATTTTGTTTTGCCAAGTCCAAATGGTGTTCACCCCTAATAAATCTCTTTAGCATTTTCTGTTGTGGGCTCTATCCACAGCCCTACTTTGTGACCATCCCATGGATCTCTCCTAAAAACACATTTCTTTGGACTCACTATGCCATTGCATTGACATAACTCATTTCCCTTTGGTATTCTTCCCACTTGGTCACTTTGACTAAACCATACCATTATTAACAGTTCAAATAAACACTTTAAACTAAGAACTTTATTCCTTAACCTCACAAAGACATTATCCTTGCTCACCTAGTGATTTAGCCTTGACACCTTAACAGATTTACTAATCGGTACTAAGTCTTTCAGACTTTTAACTTGTTGACCATGACCCTGGGGGCATCCCCACACTTGGCAGTGCACCCAAGTTAGCCCTTCCGACCAAGGGTCCATAGCAACTAAGATTGAATGTCCCCATCTCATTCACCACGTCCTTGGTGCCACTTGCACCAAAGTTGTTCAAGTTAGATATATTGAGCTTTCACATTAAGCAATCTAGCCGTATTACGACTCCAGGGCATCCCCTATTTGGCGGTGTGCCCAAGCCAATCTCCTTACTGAGAGTCTATAACCACCAAAAAATGAATGTCCTTATATTCCAACCCATCACTATGCCCTAGTGCATTAGGACTTGAACCCAAGCACTAAAGGGTTGGGACTCAAACCCAACCTCCATATATGCATTTATAGACGGCATCACCCAAGATGCCTAGCATGACTCCCCACACTAGTGCACTAATTTATACTTAAAGTGCATTACAAATCACAGCTTAGGAACTTAGTTTCTCCGTATTGCTAAATCTTTTCACTTAATAAGTTTGTGATCATGCATAGATTCCTCTATGTTTGGCCCTATGGGCTACCCCTTTTGAAGTTAATACCATCAACTAAGGTATTTGTTCCCTCGAATTGCCAATATCGCTTAGCAAGTCATCTGACCACCGTAATATGGTTCATGCATAAGTGTGAAAGTCCTTAACCATCAATTTTCATTCAAAGTTATCCCTTTGAACACTCAGGAATTACTTCCCCAATCTTAGTAGCCTTGCATTATAGCAAGTTTCAAGACCACGCTTCTACTGTGCCACTCCAATTTCACGTGTTCTATGAACCATTTACACTTCGTTTTTTAGGTACTAAGCTACCTAGAATTGTCTATGGGAACCTTGAAGGAACTCTATCCTTTAGCTTGTTAATGTTTCTCCTTTCACAAACTTTCTAATTGCCATATAATCTAACATGGACAATTTCGCCAATTATAACATACTTGAGCACCCATTTGATTCTTCATTCCCAACTCACATAACCACCTTTAGTTATGCCCTTCGATTTTTATAGTTCAGTTTTATCCCTTTATTACTTACTTTTTGGCCTCATACATTTCCTTCAGTTATTCTCCTCTAAACTAGAAGGATAGTTTTGCATTTTCTACCATGCTTTAGCAAATCTTCTTAAGGATGAATCTACCTAATAGCTTAGGGAGTGGTTCCTCAATTCGGGTATGCTCACCTTGTAATTTCACACACTGGGATTAATGTGTAAGCAACCAAAAGG